CGTCCGCAATCTAGTTGATTCCTTCTTTGAATTTACACCATACCGCAGTCTTTGAATACTATTTTCTATCATCTTCGTCCCTTTCTTGTACAATGAGCATTCTATTGTTTTTCGAACACATTACAACTCTAAAGAACAGGATCTTCACCATTCTACAATTACGCCGATAATGAAGAGAAAAAACGAAATAGAGTCATTATCTTATCCTTATCGACTAGATGACTAACTTCATATCAAGCTGGCCTCAGGGTAAAAACAAGTAAGATGGAAATGTTCTGAAGCATAAATAGTCAAAAGGTTTAGTTTCGACATAAGAACAATACAATATATCAAGATAAATCAGTAGTAGATTCTAGATCACATAAGACAGTATGTTGTACACTTTCATGATACTGCAAGTTCACTTGTCAAAGATTACTTGATTCAACTGACTAGATTGTCTCGAATTGATCACTTGGAGTTACACATCCCTACAAATGCAAAACAACTATCACGGGACAAAGAGATTCTTTGTGTTCGGGATTTCCAATGAAAAAAGCTTCTGACAGGTTGTACGTCGATATTTTCCGAAAAGAAATGACGACTAGTTGCTTCATCATACTATCATGAGATAACAAATAAGTTCGTTTCAAGAATCAAAAGATAAAGATTAGTCTCAAACAGATACAAGCAAAATCGAAAATCGACCAGTAAAGCAACTCGATACTCTACTTGTTGTTCAAAATCAGGACCGTATGTAGTCCTACTGATAGTAAGGTACAGGAATAGTCGTAAGTGTGCAAATAATGCCTTTTTCTTTTGTAAACTCAACAACGCAATTTTCTTGTATGGTAAAAAATAGGTCAAATTCGTACTTTTATCACAAAAACTATTATTAATATTCCATGTACCACTAACCAATACACTATAACTTTGTCTTGTTGTTATTGTCGTTGCTGTCATTTTACAATTCCAAGTAAGTAAAACAATTGCAATTGTCCACTCAAGCCAACAACGAAGAAAACAGTAAAAGATAGAAACACAAGTCATTCTCTTTGTAGACTTGATGACTATGCCATACTTTACCAGCCTTGAGCTCATATTTGTTGTTGTTGCTGTTCTGGTTGAATTTCAAGTAGTGGCGAGTGGTTTGATTTTGCTGCGATAGTAGAAAAATGTTTTAGGTTCGTGTCAATGCGCAAACCACTTTGTTCGTCTGCGTATACTTTCTAGGAATTATCTACTAAAAGTTGGACTTTATTTTCAGAGTCAAACCAAAACTCTAGTCGGAAACGATGACATCAATGTTTGCACTCGTGTAACATTGTAGAAGTTCAACCAATCCTTCGTGAGTTTCTTTCAGAGCTACTTTGTACACTATCCAAACGCAAGCTGTTTGCACAAAATGTGAAGTCTCTTTTTCGCTTTTTGACAGCTACAACTACCACTATTTTCAACAGAACGACCTTTAGTGTGTAGAAAAGAAAAGCAGATCAGCAGCACTCTTGGCATGCAAATACTGTTATACACAAGTCGCCTTGTTTCCCATTCACACCGTACTACTAATGTTACCCTCCTTTCCAACTGTACTATGGACCAAAGACGATTTGCAATAGATGCCTTTCAAAAACACTATCAATACTGGCTTCACCACTATGACTCTTATGACTTACATATCCTTTTAAACATCTTTCACCTTCGGTAAAACCAGTAATTCATAAAAACAAAGGCGTTTTTCAAAAACGGACTAGTAGCTACAGTCGCCATTGTCACAACTTTTTACCCAGGTGAACACAACCAAGATTTTCAACAGTGTCCTTTTGCTTGCTTTATTTCATGGTTCCCAACAAGTTGAGCATACTTTGAACTGAAAACTTTTCCCTTGCTTTCAAAATACAAGTTTATTCAGCTTTCGTTATCTAAAGCCCCCCATCCATAATATTTCAAAGTATCAATAGAGAATTGATATAAACGCTCGACAACACAAACAGCCATTAAAAATATGCAATGATGGACTCGAGACTTTCCTTTGCTATTCTGGAAAAGGAATGAATTTTACAAAGAGTGCGAATATCGTTTGTTTTCACTATAAAACCTGTTGCAGAGTTACAGACCAAGTTTTCCATCTTGAAAGAAGTCACATAGAAGACAAAAACTATCATAAGGAAAGTAACTCTTTATACTGACCAAAACACTCAACTAAGTGTCTAACTGGTTTCTTGGAAAAACATCTTTGAAATATGAAACCAAGACTGATTCTCAACAATCGACTACAAGACTAGACTGTCAACTGCTAATAAATACACAAAAATGCTCTGTAACAATTATCAGTAAAAACTAAATCTAAATGAACTTGCGAGACAACTAATTGGGTAATGTAGTGAAACTCAACAACAGCTTAAACTCCTTTGTCTTTGCTCTTTTCTTGACAATACAGCTCACAAATTTCCATACAAGACCAGAAGTGAAATAACAACAAGTCTTGCATAAACTATGTAAAAGTCAAATAGATAGTCAATGTTGTACGAATCAAAAAGACACTACAGTCTATCCGGAACTCAGAGCTCAAGACGACTCGATGGATTTTTATAAAGGAATGAACTGCAAGGCTTAAAAAAGAAACGTAGATAATAGAATTGCACTTGTCCAACTAAAACAACAAATGAGTTGGAAATTAAAGTCGGAAAACTTTCAGAAGTAAACTTAACCAAGTTCAAAGCCTTAACAACACTGGCCCTTTTTAAACTATTGTGTAATTTCCAATTGGACTATGATGAGAAGAATTGCTATGTATTGTCTCATTTCTACTGGAGGTGTAGTATCTTGTAGTGAGTTTTATGAAAGAAAATATTTTACTTGGAGACTTGGAAAAAGCTGCTTTAATAATAAATGTGCTAGATACAACTAATCTCACAGCATAGTAATGTTGTGAAAGGAGAAAAATAGTGTTGTAACAAAGTTCCTGTTCAACTAACTATCGACACTGTGCCTTTTCAAAGAGTTGAGTTTGATCAATCTTGTCTCTGCAAGGTAAATTTCAAACTACTTGTGACGCTAATTTGATTACNAATCAAGAACGGTTTTGCTACAACCAGTTTTTGACTCGTTCTCGATCTGAGAACCTTTCTTTGTTGGTCACTCAAAATGAAGGAAAACTGCATAAAAGGTGTAAAATTGTCATTTTCCAATTTCAATGACAATTACTCTGTTTGGCTTGCAATGTGAGAGATAGAACCTTTCCTTCTATGCAAATTACGCTCAAGGAACAATCTTTGTTCGATTACGAGTTATAAAGAAGAATAAATTGTATACTCAACTCTAGAATTGGAAAGTATACAGAGGACAAGGCTACAACAAAAAACTGACCAAAGGTTTGAATTCTTTTGTCTATGTACAAATACATAAACTACTTACGACAAGGAGGATCGAGCCTCAAACGTTTCACGGGTCTTGGTTTGTTCTCTTCGTAAGCAATTTGTAGAGAGTTTTGACTGTTATAACAACAGTAAAAGTGGTGATGCTTTTACTTCTCCTTGCACTTATATTTCAAGATTCACCTTTCTTTTTTACTTTGCCAAGAAGAGATGAAAGATTCTTATTTTTCCATTATTTCTACATTTATATTCTTTTTTACTAATAGACGAAATTTATCGAGTATATTTAAAAGAACAAGACCTTTACCGGTTTGGATAACAATCACAATATAAATTTGAGATTTGACTCAACAAAGGAATCAGATAAATTGTTTTATCTTATTCTGCTGAATATTGTTTGCGAGTTGACGACATTTTTATTCGCTGTAGAGCAACTTGGATAAAACAGCGTTTCTCTTCTTTTTCAAGTTTGACTTGTCCCTAGTAGAAATGAACATTCCTTCTATTGATAGACCCGTTTTTTATACGAAACGTTGAGTTGTCTTTGATTCTCGTCACTAATATCCAAAAGGAAGCCTCTACTAGTGTACCTATCAGGTTATATTTCGCAAGAGTCTTCTTCCAAGTGCCTAACGCAAGGAACTTTTGTATAGTGACTCACTTATTCAATGAGCTGATGGTTGAGAATGGAAGAAGATTAGGACTCAACTGGACAAATCGTTCTTTGAATTTGCAGATCTTTTAAAAGTTTTACCTTTTTTTATATTGGAAGAGATAATAGCCCTCTTGGAGTTATCTCGCTCCTAAAGTAGCTTTGTACTTTTTATAGTTTGCTTTCTTGTATATCTTTAAAAGTTGTGGTTTTTACAAAGTTTATCGTACAAGAGGATGCAGCAAAACATTTTAAACTAAACGGTCATGTTTACCTTCAAAAGCACCTCAAATGTATAGTCGACTATTGAGGAGAAGGAATTCAACTATGATTCAAATGCTATGCAATGACAAGATACGAGAAGAGAGTCGCTAGAATAGACTCAATTCGATTGAATTGAATTTCTTGAAAAATATCTTTTCTCCTCTTAACAGAATTCACAGTATCAAATGCTACTATTGTCTGTGAGTAATTTCAGAGGAGAAAGAAACAGGAGTTATTGACTCTTACAGAAATTGAGTATTGATGATACGCTTGTGTTCACTGTTGTTTCTGAGTTTTGATAAAACCACGAGATATTTTGGATCCTTCTTTGCACGTTTGTTTTGGTTTGTCTTTTGCTATCATCAATTTTTGTAGCTTTAGTGATAAGCTGCTACTTGTCATGATATCGTAAGAAAGGAATCTGATGATTGCTGAGAATAAAAGAATGTTATGCTTGCGGGTTTCTGCATTTCTACTAAATAATATATTTCAACTGGAGCTTTTGGGTAGACTACAAAAGAGAATGACTTGGTTCATACTCTAGTTCCGTGTTTCGAAATGAAGCAAAAGTGACGTAAAAACTATTCCATAAAATACAGAAAATCTAGAGAGAGACGTCTATGGAACAAATTCTTCATGAACAATCTATATTGCTCGGAACTCTCATGACTACTCTCGAAAATTCTGAAAGAAACTTTCTTATCTATTTGAAAATGGGCCATGTTTAATAGCTTTATACTCTCAAAGAGCATAAAAAACTTGTGAAATAAACATTGGCTTCCTTCTAATCGTTCTTGTACCCTATGAGAGTTGCCATTATATTAGCATACGAGAATAAGAATATCGATAGTTGAAAAAGCCATATTGATCGTTTTTCCATAGTTCAAATCATCTCAGTCCAAGCCATAAAGGGTATGATATAGTCATCAGTTGATAAAGAGAAGAAGTTGGATTGGTATCCTTTACTGTTTTCCTTGTTGTTGTTGTGACCGACAAACAGTTAAATTCATTTATATTTGTACTCCGAAATAAACAGAAGATTGTTTAATTTCTCTTTGGCGATGGCGAGTTTGAATGAAAAGTGGGAAGCTTTTGTCAAGTTTAAGTCTGTTGTGGTAGATCGTGAAAGAGATGTTTTTCGAGTGACAGAAGAACTGTATGATCTTCATAGCAACAGAGAACAACTCAGGGGTGTAACAAGTAGTTGCAACTATCGCTTGACCATACCATTTGCCCCCCATCTCTTTGGCTCGGGCAAAACGACCTTTGCCCGAACCTATTTGGAGTTGGTGCAAAGGTTTGGTGAAAATTTTCTGTCGACTTTTGCTTCGGACCCTTCGAGCAGAACCTTTTTGGAGAAGCTGAAAAGGGCTTCATTGCTTTATGTGGATTTAAGGGGGTTGAAGCCCACAGAACCGAAAGAACGCAACCTAAAGTGGGCAGTATACTATTTATTGTACCGATCAGCTTGTAATCAGATGGGTCTACCGTTTATGAAGCCTGATGAAGCCTACAGACACATTCCTCTCTATCCAAGCTTTCTAATTCCAGAGCTACGGAAGACTTTGGGCATTACTTCCGATCAATATCTTTTGTTGGCATTTGACGAAGTTGGTGTGTTTGATACAAAGGCAACTTTTTTTGAACTGGAGAAGAATGACAAAGGTGTGGTTCGACCGTACAATGACTTTTTTGGTATCATTAGTCAATTGTGCGAAGAACCCGACTTGTTTTTTATTGTTGTTGGGAAAAGCAAGGGTTTAAGTATTAAGAATGATGTGGCTTTTGGGCTATCAAGAGTTATATTACATTTTATCCCTTTATCACCTTTGGACGCTTCCAGTATCGTTGAGTTCCTTCAAAAAAGTCTTCTAAAGACACCTACTCAAGAACCGGTTTGTAATGTCTTATGTAGTTCTTCATTTTCAGTAAATGAATTGGCAGATTCGTTATTGGAATGTACAGGTGGAGTTCCTGGTTTGTTGACTCGTGCAGTGAATATGCTTTTGAATTATGTGGAAATGAGAAACCAGCCTTTCATATCGAAAGAAGAATGTTTGACTTGTATGAATGACTACGATTTCCGAAGAATTTGTGCTGAACCATTTGTGGAACGAATATTGAATTTGGACGAAGATAGAAAAAGTGTTTTTGATATACTTTTGATGATGGCTCTTTATCGTATACCGTTTCAAGTAGATGACATATTGACCTCGGAGTCTTATCTATTTGATGCAGTCACTGAAATGGGACTATATCGATATCCTATTGACCAGAATACTTTTCAAGTCCTGATTCCAAAAGTATTTGTTGTAATCTTCAAGAAGGACCCTTCCATATCTTCTTTGGAAAAGATACTTCTCGAATCACTTGATGTAGAACCAGTAGATTGTTTCTTCTATTCAAAGTGTCGTGTATTTGAAGGAATTGTTGCTTTACGACTAGTTTTGATGTTGTCTTCAAAGAATCGAAATGAGTTGAGAGAATTGTTGTGTCAATTGTCTCCAATATGGAAACAAATGAAACTTCCAATCAGTACAATATCACCTATTCACTATATCAAGTCTGTTGTTAGTTCTAGAGAAACAAGAAGTGAATCGAACAAGAGTCGAAGAACTTTTGCCAATACTGAATGGAATAAGATTATTCGAGAGACACTTTATTTAGAGACTATTTACATTCCTTTGGACGCTACTTCTCATAGTCCTGATATTATATTCCAATTACAATCTCCTGTGGAACCCAAAGTTCTTACTGTTGGAGTTGCATGTAAAGGACGTTGGAAGTCGGAAGGAATTGGCTGGTCAGATATTATAGATGAAGCCAAGAAATTTTTATATCCTGTTTATGATCAAGTCTTATCCAGTGCAATGGATTCTCATCATTGTATGCTTATTATCGTTAGTACAAAGTTATCCTTGAATGTTTCTAATGAGTTGGGTAATTAGAGTCGTTGTTACTCCAGTGGAATGTTTATTGGAAATGATTCGTTCAAAGTACCTGATAATTGTGAACTTGTTATTCTTTGTGAAAGAGATGTCCAAATGCTGATTGACGAAGAAATATTGAGCGGACTTGAAAGAGCATTTGGTGTTTCTCATAATCCTACTTTTTGGGATTTTGGATTAGATTTACTTGATAGAATCCGTAACAGTTTCTTAAGTTGGCAATAGATTCTAACTCAATCCTTCACTTTGTGATTTGTTTTGAAGAGCAAATAAACTTGTTTTGTATGTTTGAAACTCGGTTAAAACTTATTTGCTTTCACTCTGAGGATTATTGTCTTAATATGGTACTAACCACGAAAATCAAAATAAGCCTATTGTTGTAAAAGTCACTGTCACAGTTTGACAGGTCTTGTTTGCTTCTTGTAACTTCTCAGGAGAGTGTCAAC